CAAGGGCTACCTGCTGGGTGGATTGGTTTGGTTCACGATCCCCTTTGCCTTCGCCACGTCCCTTGGCCTGTGTGCCGTTGCCCTGCACCTTCCCATCTCGTCCGCCGAAGCCGCCGCCGGTCTGGTGCCGCCCGCGGTCGCCACACACCTCTTCGGCAGCTTCGGCTCGGTGATGATGGCGGTGATGCTCTTCATGGCCATCACCTCCACAGGCTCTGCCGAGGGCATCGCCGTGTCATCCCTGATTACATACGACATCTACAAGACCTACATCAACCCCAAGTGCACCGGGAAACAGGTGCTGAGAATTTCCCAGGCGGTGGTGGTCACCTTCGGCCTACTCATGGGCGGCCTCGGTGCCGCCCTTAACTGCATTGGTCTGAACCTGAGCTGGCTGTACCTATTTATGGGCAATGTCATCGGCTCTGCCGTGGTGCCTCTCTGGAACTTGCTCATGTGGAAGGATGCCAACGCGACAGGGGCCGTGGTTGCAGTCTGGGGCGGCATGATCCTGGCCCTGGCGACTTGGCTCATGGCGTGCCAGGCCGAGTTTGGTGAAATCACCATCGAGAACCTGGGAGAATTGAACCCAAACCTCGCCGGGAACCTCATGGCCTTAGCATCCTCTGCCTTGATCCATTTCGTCTTCTCCATGAAGAATCCGCAAAACTATGATTTCGAATCTATGGGCAAGATTGAGGCTTGGTGAGCAGGAGAGGAAGTCACATGGGGCAGGACCGAAGTAGAAGTAGGCTTCCGGAACGCCACATTGTGTTGTGTGTCTTTTAGCACGCGGGCCAAGGAAATGCTGGAGCAGGACATGAGTGGGCTAGATGAGCAGGATTACACGCCGGAGTTCTTGGATGCTGCTCAGAGCTGGATTCAGAACCGGGGCTTCGCTTTCAGCGTCCTGATGGTCTTCATTTGGCCCATGCTTTCTGTACCGGCTGGCGTCTTTGGCAAAGATTATTTTGCCTTCTGGGTGTTCATTAGCATTGCCTGGAGCTTCCTGGCCGCCTTCGTGATCATCGTCCTCCCCATCCAGGAATCCTGGGACTCCATCTGCCGGGTCGGTTCCTTCCTTGTGGGAAGGGGAACCGGGAAACAAGGCCTTGCCACAAATGCCGCTGCCACCGGCGATGCGCTGTAGCCGTGTTGTAGTCTGCTTCCGAGTGTTTGCAGGTGGAGCCGCTGCACCCTTAATTCAAGGCCTTCCATGGCCGGGAAACTGGCCAGGGCCTACTGTATAGGTATGTATAGGTCCTTCGACACCTCCAGCACAGCAACAGGCATGTGCCGAGCGTTCAGGCGTTGCCAAGCACACTCGTGCTGCGACTCGCCAGCCGTTCAGATCAGTTGCTTTACAGCTTCAGCCTTGAACAAAATAATGTGACGACCTCAAGCCGCGAAGACATCCTAAGACCTCTTAATTATAAACCCAGTGCCCTGACAATGTCCGAGACCTCACAGGTGGCCGAGAAGATCCGACGAGGCGAATCGCTGGAAAGCATGGAGATGCTTCGCTTAACGGTACACGTGATCACAGCATGAAGACTATAGACGGCTACTGACAGAGGACCAGTCGATGACAGGGTAGTCAGTCTGCTGCAGTGGCTTCAAGCCTTCAAATGGCTGCAGGACTCTGTAGGCCTGCAGTGTACTGCCGCCTCAAGCAGCTTTGGTGAGCTTTTGCATCTCTTTTTGCTCACCCGCCTCCGCAAGGAACGTGGACGATGGCGACCGGAGCTTTTGTGTCCGATGCCTTGTTTGGCGGCCGAAGCGGCAAGTTCCCATGCTGTCTTCGCGAGTGGACTCGGCTGCAAGGTGGTGGGGGGAGTGGGCACATCGAGCGGATCAAAACACTTCGACCTTACTGTGCCAGTAGCTTCTGAGATAGCTGTCTGAGTAGCATATGTGACATCATAATTTCATGTGTCTCGCGTATTCCCCTCTACCCTCACCCAGACAGCGCGGCTGTAACCATGCTCCACAATGTGACAGGCAATTGGCGAGGGGCAACTTTTCTTTGGACTTTAGCATGCGCGAAGCATCACAGCAATGGCCGATCGCGGGCACGTCAGGATGTCAAGATAAGAAAAACAGCCAGTCGCGACACCAACAGTAGTTCTAAGGTGGCCTCCCTTCCCAGACCACTGCAGATTTTCTTCCGCCAACTGCCAGGCTGCCCCTCGGCCGGAACACACAGTACAGGCCTGTACTAGAGTTTGACAAGCTTTACCAGGCTCATGTTTGCGCAACGCGGGCATTGGGCTGCATTTAGGGCGATTGCCGTCGCGACAGTGGACCACTTTCAGCCTTTCCAGCCGAAACCGAGTGAACCAACCTCCCGCAGATGAAGCATTCCCAAGCGTGCTTGCCGCAAGGTAAGGAGGGCAGCTGTCATCACTGCAGGCAGGTCATGACTCGAGCTTTACAGGGCACATCTTTTCGCACATTGACGCCCCTTCAGAGTGTAGAGTTCAGGATCCAAGGCCATCTCTGCCCAGGCTAGAGGATGCTTGAGGATGCTTGTAGCATTGCCCTTCTCAACTGCTGCGGGCTTGATGCCATTCCTGACCTTTCTTGTGCGGCAGACTATTTGACGTGTCTTCGGTCCCTTCGTGCGAAAGGACCTGCAACCGCTGCGTCCGCTACTTCGACCACCACTGTGGGGTCTTCGGCCGCTGCATTGCAGGGTGCCTCCATCAATTCATTTCAGCCTTTCATCCTGTGCAAGACGGCTGGCTGACGGGCCCGCCCAAGGACGTGCTGCAGCGGCAACATGCCCTTCTTTCTGCTCATCATCTTCATGCCCCCTGGACGGCGGATGGGCTTTGGGCGGGAGAGGCCTTCCCTGTAGCCTTGCTGAGGTCCTTTGTGGGCACTGGCACCACGCTCGCCTGCCTGGCTACCTCACTGTCCAACCGCATCGCCAGCCTGCGTGCGACCACAACAGCAGTTCCAGGCGGATAGTTCCCAAGCGTGGAGCTCACTACCGAATTGGCCGTTTGGCCGTTATCTCCTCACCTCGGCGCCCAAAGTAGGCGCAGCCCGCAGGAGATTCCGACAAGAAACGATCAAACTCCGGGTTTTTTCTAAAGCGTCTTGAGCCAAATCCCCGGGCTTTTCACGGACAGATGCATCCTGAACTCGCTGGGCTCGAGATCAGATTCTTCGGTGAGTTGTGGTCTTCGCCAGAGTCGTCTCAAGCCTTCAGAAGCCTTCAGGTTTATTGTCGATCCTCTCGTGTCGGGTCCA